AGGAAAAATAATAATTTTACAAATTTCGAGCCTTTGGTTCGCAAAAGGTATCCTGAACCCCTCTGGGGGTTTCCAATAATTGCAAAATCAATAATTATTTAAATGCTCTTTCAATATTTTTTCCAATTCATATAAGGCATTTGCTAAGAAAGGACTTTTTATTGGTTATACCTTTGTTAAAGTAATTTACTGAATCCCTCAGGATTTTATTCAATCCCAATATTATAATATTTTATAGCTTCTTCATATTTTTTCATTTAAACTAAGGCATTTCCTAAAAATAATAATTTTTAACACCTTTATTAATATAGTAAATTGGAATTTTAGAGTTTTTTTCAAGCGCTAAATTATAATTCTTTATTGATTCTTCATATTTTTACATTTCAAATAGAGTATTTGCTGATAAATTATAATATCCTTTAATACCTTTGTTGAAAAAATATCTTGAATCTTCAGGATTAATTGATATTGCTTTATCAAAATATTATAATGCTTCTTTATATCTGCCCATTTCATCTAAGGCAATTGCTAAATATAATGGAGGTTTATGACCTTTCTAATTGAAATATTAGGAGTTGCGTGGATTTTTCTGAATTGCATAATCATAGTGTTTTAAAGCTTCTTCATATCTTTTCAATAACAATAAAACATTTCCTGACAATATATATTTATTAATTCATACCTTTATTAAAGTAACCAATTGATTCCTGTGGGTATTTTTTAATTGCTTCTTCAATACATTCTAAAGCTTCAAAGTATCTTTTCATCTCACATAATGTTATTGCTAAGAAGCTATAAAATTTCCCTTTGTACCTTTTTGAGCTAAATAATCTGGATTGTTTGAGTTTTTCGAAATTGCAAAATCTAATTATTTTAATGCTTCATCATATTTATGAATTTAACATAAGGCCTATGCTGAAAAAATAAATTAATATCTTTCATACCTTTATTAAAATAATAAGATGAATTTTCTGGGTTTTTTTAAATTGCGTTTTCAAAATTTTCTATTGCTTCTTGAAATCTGTTAGCCTCAACTAATGCATTTGCTAAATAATAACTCTGGTTTTATACCTCTTATAAAGAAATAATTTGATTCTTCTGGATTTATCTGGATTGCATGATTGTAGGATTCTAATGCTTCATTGTATTTTTTCAATTATTATAAGATATTTGCTTAAAATATCTTTTGTTTTACCTTTATTTATATGGAAATCTGCTTCTTCAGGGTTTCTTTAAATTGAATAATCATAATATTCTAATGCCTCTTCAAATCTTTTCATCTTAGTTAAAAGATTTGCTAAAAAAGTATAATCCAGTTTTTATACCTTTGTGGAAGAAATAAATTGAATCTTCTGGATTTTTCTGAATTGCATAATCGTAGGATTGTAATGCTTCATCATATTTCTTCAATTTTTGTAAGATATTAGCTTAAAATACCTTCTGTTTTACCTTTATTTATATGGAATCTCGCGTCTTCAGGAGATCTTTAAATTGCAAGATCAATATAAACTAATGCATCTTGATATTTATTTAAATTGACTAAAGTATTTGCTAATATGAATAACCTAATTGTATACCTTTGTTAAAGAAATAAGTTGGCTCCTCTGGGTTTTACTGAATTGCGTACTCATAGTGCTTTATTGCTTCATCAAATTTTTTCATTTCACATAAGATTGTTGCTTAGGAATACCATTATTATTTCTACCTTTACTATTATGATATCTTGGATCTTCTGGATTTTACTAAACTGCCTAATCAAAGCATTCTAAGGCTTCATCAAGTTTTTTCATCTCATGTAAAATATTTGCTAAATAAGAATAAAGAGTTAATTTAACCTTTATAACATACATTTTCTAAATCTTCTGGATTATACTTAATGGCATAATTTATATATGTTAATGCATCTTCTAATCTATGCATTTGCCTTAAGGCACTCGCTAAGATAATTTAATGATAACTATATACCTTTATGTGAATATAGTTATGAGTCTTCTGGGTTAAGCTTAATTGCTTCTTCAAAACATTCTAATGCTTCCTTATATTTTTTCATTTCATATAATGCGATTCCTCATGTTTTATAAAATTTTCTACCTTTTTAATTGATATATTTTGGATCTTATTTCTCCTTTTCATTTTATTTATTAATTGCCTTGTCAAAATATTAAATTGCTTCATCATATCTTTTCATTTATTATAAGATATTGGCTAAATGAGGAAATATTATTTGCTATACCTGAATTGAAATAGTAGAGCGAATCTTCAGGATCTATTCTTATAGCATATTCATAGCATTTTAAAGCTTCTTCATATCTATTCAATTCATATAATGTATTTGCTAATAGAACAACAAAATCTATATACCTTTACAACTTAAATATACTAAATCTTTTGGGTTTTTCTAAATTGCTTTCTCATAGCATTCTAGTGCTTCTTCATATCTTTTTAATTCCTTTAATGTATTTGCTAATAAAGGATATTAGTTTCCTGTTTACCTTTGTTAATGAAATAACTTGGTTCACCATCAAATTATTTAAATTGCTTTTTCGTAATATTAT